ACCCGTTGATGTTTGTTCCTTTTTTTTTACTAATTTCATCCTCGAGAAGATAGCTTTTTAGATATCTCTTGAGGTAAAGTCAATCATCAACGTGGTGTTTTGTAAATTTGAAAGTTTTTGGATATTTTTGTAATTAACTCAATTCTTTGGCGTATGCTCTCTCTCTCATTATACCTTGTGTGTTTGCTCTTTCTTGGTTCTGCAGGTTGCAATTATATGTGTCGGGTGGTGCAGAATCCGAATATAAAAGTCCTCAAACAGAATTGAGCTCTTCTCGTTCACCTACCGAGCTCTTGAAAAAACAAAGCACTGATAGAATGAAAGAGAAAGCAACTTTTCAGAGAGAGGAATGGTTTAGATGGCTAATGAGAGTGAGAAATGATGCATTGATCATAATGAGCATCGTTTGCCTTCAGTTGCCGTTTGAATTGGCTTATGCTCATCTTTATGAGATTATAGGATCCGACATTCTCAAGTAAGCACTGTTTCATATATTTTTTTTTTTTTAATTTATTTTTTATTCTCTCCTTCAATTACATTTTCTATCAAGATGTAAAATTTCTCTCTTTTTGTTTAAGGTTTTGTCTCACGGCCATGTACCTCATCGCCATTCAGTACTTCACAAGAATGGGGGGCAAGATTTCGGTGAAGCTTATTAAATACGAAAATAATGAAAATGTGGAGTACAGAGCAAACAGCTTGGTGTACAAGGTAGCAAAAAAGATAACCACCATTATTGTTTTATTCGAACTTTTCAGGACATAATTAAAACATGGCGAAAAAACCATCAGGTTTGACATGTCAGAAATTGCTGATGTCATCGAATATTCCACGATACATCATCATCTTCTCTAAATATTTCAAGCAGCCCTTTTTTTTACTCAATGATTTTATATAATTATATTTTTGGAATTCAAGGGATATAATTGTAAAATACAAACAGAAGGTTGGGGCTGTTTGTATAATCAAAAAGTTGAGGGATGTAATTTGTAGCTGTAAAAATACTAAACGCGAGCTTGGGTGCATAATGTAAAGCAAATGACCTTGAGGTTTTTTATAATTTTTAAGTTTAGCTGGATTTTTCGCAACTATTCGAAACCAAAAGGGTTGTGTCGTAATTAAATTAGCTTTATGCTTTCTCAGGTCTTTGGCCTTTATTTCATGCAAACATATATAGGAATATTTTATCATGCTTTGCTGCATCGCAATATCGCTACCCTCCGTCAAGTCCTAGTCCAACGTCTACTTATATCTGAGGTACCAATACTTATTCTTTTTCGTATTTTTTTTTTATTTGAATTTATATTTTCTGTATGTCTTACATGTTCTTGAAATTGTTTTTATAGGTGATTGAGAATATATTGGAAAATTCAGTACCATACTTGTCCTACAGTTTCAGAAAATTCAAAGCCAGGTATATTATTTCTTATGCCAATTTGGACAAGAAATGTACTGATTTTTGGGTTTGTGTTCTATCCAAAGTAAATGAGCTATCTCACCTTGAAGGAATAAGCTAAAACGTGAGCGAGGGTCATCAATAACCAAACCGAGTCCCATTTCAAGAGTGGAGAAGGAATTTCTTAAACCTGCTTATTCAGCAAGTATCGGCCAAGAAATCGAAGATGGGCTTTTTGATGGTAATAAGGAATAACCTTTTTTATTTGAACTGTTGTTAATGTTAAGGATCTTATAGTAAAACCTTTTCTACCCGGGTGCAATTATTATTGAATGATATTATATATCTGTAGAAAACAAACATACAAACAAACATGCTACTGTAATTTTTTTTATTTAATCCATTAATATTCTTGAAGGGGTTTATTTAAATCTCTACTTTTACGTGCTTGCAGATTTTTTGGAGCTCGTTTTGCAGTTTGGTATGATCATGATGTTTGCTTGTGCGTTCCCACTTGCATTCGCCTTTGCAGCAGTGGTAGTGATTATTCATTTTTCTTTATTTTTTTCTATATTTGTAAATGATTATAATGATGATTCTCTTTTTTGTTGATCTACTTTGATTTGGTTTTCTCGTATTTTCACTTTTAAACAATCAGAACAACATAGCTGAGATTAGAGCTGATGCTTTGAAATTGCTTGTGATGATGAGAAGGCCTGTGCCCCGTGCTGATGCCACAATAGGAGCCTGGCTGAATATTTTTCAGGTACTCGAATCAAACTTACGAATTATACTAATAGTGTTATGCTAAATTAAATATATATATATATATACATATATATATATATATATGTGCCATAGAGTCTACAAAAATGCTCCCTTAATTTACAAGTTGCAACCACATAGAAAACCTCAAAATGTTACTTGTATATCCGAAAAATTTTGAATGATGATAATTTTTTGCTTCTGACTTTTTCTTTTTTTCCTCTTTCTTTTTTCCCCCAGTTTTTGATAGTTTTGTCGATATGTACCAATAGTGCACTCCTAGTTTGCATGTATGATCGAGAAGGAAAGTGGAGTTTATCCCCTGGACTTGCAGCTATCCTTATAATGGAACATGTGCTTTTGTTCATCAAGTTCGGATTTTCGCGCATTGTTCCTGAGGTACAGTTGTAATAAACCATTTTTACATGCACACACACACACACATATATATATAGAGGGTGGTTCAAAACTAGTCCTAATGTGAGAACCGTGAGAACCATATTTGATGCTATTTTTAATTAGGTATAATGCTATTTTTGATATTAAATGATGCTATTATTTTCACAAATATTAATATACAAATATTAATATAAATTGTGTTGCTATTTTTCACAAAATTCATCCTGGTTAAAATAGCACTAAAACAAATCAATCATAGCACTTCATACAATTAAAAATAGCGGTTCTCACTGTTCTCACGTTAAGACTTGGTTCTCATTTGAACCACATCTTATATATATATAACCTTATTTAATCGATTTCAAATAAATCCATCTCTATATTTAGAGACTCAATTTGTATTTTGCTGTTTAAAGTTATTAACTTTTTCGTGTTCAATAGGAACCCGCATGGGTAAGAGCTGCTCGAAGGAAAAACGCCACTCAAGCAGAACAGATGTGTTCTAAACAACTCTTGAGGAGCATCTCAGGAGATGAAAATTGGTTCCGAGAGATAAAAAAGAACGAATAGAGAAAACATTCACAATCGAAAAGTTATCCTACACGAAGCTTGATCGTTCGNTCGCTTTTGCTTACCAGCTGATGTAAAATGGAGAGCAACAAATAGAGGTTAAGTTTTACTAAAAGACCCCTTTACTTTTCCAGTTGATGTGTGCTGTAATGTATTAGTTATACTTGGTTCTTGCTTGCTCTCTTTAATGGTGTTTTTAATCTTTTTGGTGAGAATAGTTTACCTTGCAAGAATCTTCGATTCGATGACTTTAAGCGGCCCAGAAAGTCATCTTATTATGATTCTTTTTTTATTTATTTTTATTTTTTACATTCCAATGAACAAAATTTCTAACCAATATATACATAACAATTTGTTGAATTATGCCTCGGCCTGAAAAGTCGAATTCTTGATTTGCCCTTTGCATCCTTGGCACTGTTTACTGAAAATCGATTTGTATCAATAGTTTGTTTTGTCCATTTTTGTGTCCAAAATTACCTTTCGGGATGAATGTCGATTTCATCTATCCGTGCTCGATTTTTTCCGGGAGCTGCCAAAACGGTTGCTTACTTGGCGGGCGTATTGGGCCACAGCTTTAGCCCATTTTCTGATTCCATCTTTCAGCTTTTGGGAGTTCAAATGCTTTAGAGATTTCACGTTTGGATCGATTGATAGCTCCCGAAAGGAAAAGAACCCGTTTGACCGCCTTTTCTTGAGACCATCATGTTGGGATTTCGAGCTTTTGCCGATTTCTGAAAAAGTATCTTCTCTGTAAGATAGAGATTTCTTCTCTGCAGGGCCAAATCCCATCAGTTTTTGTGATAAAGTGTTTTCTTTGGCTTCTAAGTTTGGTTTTAGTGTATTTATAAGGGAAATGATGCTGGGTTTTTGGTGGTGGTGCTTTTTATACGTGTTGCTTGCAACGAGTTGGCTTTTTGACTTTTAAGAATTTCTTGATTTATATTATGCGACTAATCAATTTCTTACACCTTGTAAAAACGAGTTGTTTGGTGCTTACCAAACCAATCGTCTAATGACAATTTCAACGATGGTCATCATTTGTGGAAGGAGACAAATCAGATCTTACTGCGTTTTTCTTTTCTTTTTTTTTTTCGGAAATTCACTTATAATGGTTTGGGCAAAAATAAATAAATAAATAAAATTAATAGTCTGAAATCTTGTATACCCCAAATTTACCCAACTCAGAAAATCAGCTAATGTTGAATTAAGCTTGTCTAGGCATCATAACAGGTTAAGAAAAGTACACATGACCAACATTCATTACTTCTATCATAATAATAAAAATTAACGGTTAAGATTGATTTGATATATCATAATGGTATTATGGGAGTGATATCATTATTTGTTGTTATATTCAAATGTTTATTGTGTTTGGTTAGACATGTATTGGCTTAAAAAATGGCATGGCCCGAATCAAAATCAACCAATAAGATCTCTTCAACGTATAATTTGATAAGTCAATTGATAAATCAATCTGAAATTCATAACTATTTACTACAATTAACCCGCAAATACTTAGGTGTGCCTAAGCTAGGTGTACCACAAATGAACATGTTATGTTACAAAATGAACATGTGCAAATCATGTTTATACATGTTCATTTTATAACATAACATGTTCATTTTAAATTGTCCTGGCACACCTAGCTAGGTGTACCTAGGCACACGGTAGTAGCACTGCAATTAGCCAATCAAAGTACATATATTATCAACATCGGGGTTGACTTGTATAAGGTGTTTCCCATTTGCTCGAGAAGCTACACTCCAATTGGACAACTTGAGGCTCACGAGTCACGACCCCTTCCCCAAGTATTGATCATTATATGTGTTTGCGTATAAGCATCAAACAAATAATATCAAAGACAATAAAGTATATCAAAGACGAAGTTAATGACCCCTTGGATACATGTGTTCAAAAAATATAGCAATGCTTGTTTAAATTTACCTATATAAATCAAACATGCACCACATTTCTTGATACACCAAGTACCAGAATCCAGGCTAGGGACTAATTTAATATAAAAACTCAGATCTATTAAATAAGGTAGAAAATCATTCAACTCTAACAAACGACAAAACTCAATATAAACGACAACTCCAAAACACTTTTGAATTAATATAGTTTTGCACAAACCAACATAAGATACGAAGTTCAAGTAACCCATCTACTGCTTTAACTAACCCAAAGCCTAATAAGCAGTTTGCCTGTTCCTCTTCTTGACACCAGATTTCGAGACCTTGAGGCTTCTGTGAACCCTGCTTAATCGTGCAAGGGCCGCCTTCTTCAAATCAGGCCTGTAATTGTTGTCAGCCACCTGTACACAAGAAAAACAGTTACTATAAGAAAATTTTGATGAAAGTGAAATTTGCAAACTAATCAAGGACGAAAATCGAGATAGACACTGCACACAGTTTCTTTTGATTGTACAACACTAATTCCATTTTCAAAATCAATATGTAGTTTCAAATTAATCAAGGAGTAAAATAGAGCATGATGCAGCACTATTTTTTTGGTTAGTTTATTATGTACAAGGATGGGTGAATAAACTTAAAACAAGGAATCAAGGATAGCATTATTCTACCTGATTTGTAACAGCCTTTGCCATGCGGTTGAATTCTTTTTTCAATAGAGACTTGTGAAGCAGGCTTGATGGCTTGTTCTGTTTCTTGGTTTTTGTTGTTGCAAACAGCACTGACTGATCCTTGCCAGGTTGAATGGTCACAGTTTTCTTGTTTGCCAACCCTATTCATAGCAAATCCATGTTTTTCAATCCAAGCATCGCGAGGAATTTCATTTCAGCCAAATTATTTTTGTTAAGAAATCAAAAAATGTACAAATCTAAAGCTTATAAGTACAAAAACTGATAATTGGGCTTAAAAGAAACTATGAATCTCATATCCCATGACTGTGGCCTGGTTGTGCACTTGTGCTAAAGATAACAGAGTTGAATGGCTTAGTGAAAAATTTATCCAAGGGTGCAAGTGGTTCGGGCTGCGAAAATTGAGCAACTTGCAAGAGAGCTATAGTTAGCGTTTTACTCGAGCTCATTCACTTCAAATTTGAACTCAAGTTGAGCTTAGCTTGAGCCTGTGGTTTGTAAGCTCAAGCGCTTGCTTAACTATATGTGAAATTAGCAACTTAACTAATTACATCTAACTGCACTTCTTTTAATTAAAATTTGAGCCAATCTCGAGCAAAATTCGAGCCTATGAGGTTTGCATTTTTGTGTCAAGCCCATTCAGCTCGTATAGCTCAAGCAGCAATAAAACAAATCGAGCATAGCTCGATAAAAACAATGCTCAACTCGCTTATTTGCAGCCTACTAGCTGTGAACAAAAATAGAAAAAAGAAAAAAATTCAGTACAAGACCCAAAAGCTACGTAACAAAAATTCCTGAGACAGGCTGACAGCAATAAAGTTAACAGATTTAATGATTTTCGAATTATCTATATCCACACATCTTAAAACCGGGGAGAATACCCAAAAGGTCAACAAGACAATGTACTAGATGAAGCCCAATTCAGTACAAGACCCACAAATCACAATAACTAAATATATAAACAACTCCTTGCTCGGATCAGAAATCATTTACCCTACTCAATCAACTAAGGCAGGCACAAAAAAAAATCAGAGAATCATAAGCAAATAAAGAAAGCACAAAACAATCAGAAACAAACCAGAGTGCTTGTAAGAGTGCACGTTGTAGAGATTGTTGGGTTCCTTGCTGAACTTAACGCTAGCAGTCCCATTTCCAAACTGCTTCACCAAAAATGAGTTGTTCTTCCTAACAATCTCCCATATCAGCTGCCCAGGTACAGTCGCCATTTCTTACACGCATAAAAACACAAATTCAAAACTAAGAATCGAACTACAAAAGAAAAAGAACGATCTGAGATTATGCAGTGTTCACAGAGATACCTTGAAGGGTCGAGCTTTACCTTCGGACAGAAAAAGTGGAAATTTTGCTATGCGACGGCTTGAAATGAGAAGTGGATCTAAATAAGTTGAAGCCCTAGAAAGTGTGAAATACCATAATACCCCTTGATGGGTCTTTTTAGTTTTAACAATGGAATCGAGCCATCAAGGTGGTTTCCAATCTTTCGATGTGTCGCCGGATGAGGTTCGAGAATGGTTACATCACGATATTGTCGGAATTTCGTACTCTTGATATGTACTGATTTTCGATACTTAGGCGTTAG